TTTTTTTTTTTTTTTCAGTCGGCACTCTTCAATTTTCACTCATTCTTGACTGTGGTGTTGTTGGGCATATGTGCCTGCACATACGTTAAGATGCATTTTCCGGCACTTTTGGAAGAAAGGACGGGGTAAGTTTTTTGTTTTTCTTTTAGATTTAAATTAGTTGAACGAATTGCCGCAGTGTGGCTTTGATCGATTGCTCCGATTCGGAGGACTTGTGCTTTGTGTAACTGTCAACCTAAAAAAAAAAATGCTTGCTAGTTTTCCTTTGGTGATGATTAAGTTATGTCGGAATTTAGCTTAAAAAAAAATGCTTGCTAGTTTTCCTTTGGTGATGATTAAGTTATGTCGGAATTTAGCTTAATTTGGTTCGTGGAGTTGAGTTAGCATTCGGGTGATCGGGTCAAGTGGGTAGATGATGGACTATCAGAAGCCTAGTCGAAAATATTTGAACTTTTGGCTTTTTGAAAGGTGATCAAGTAACAAACTTTGTAGTCCTTTGGTAAAGTTTGTGATTTGGATGTGTCTTTAAATCACTTCCTGAGGTGATCCTTGATCCTTTCTGGTTGCTTGGCAGTTCAAGGTTTCATGTATATTGTATAATATGAATTCTATAGATAATTGGACAGTCCTTTATCCGAGTCGACAGCAAAACTACTTCAAAAATTTTCACTTTTTCATCTAAATTAATGTATAGGTAAAAAGTTGACTCGTGTATTTACGGAGTAGTTGATGAATATTTTCTTATCGGCATTTACAAGCAGTTACATTTGCCTTCACTGCTCTGTTGAACAAAGTAATCGACCTGTTGCTGATGGTTAACTTAGGGAAAACAGCCTCGTAGCTCTGCAGAATCTGATAATTAAAGACTTCACGAAGAAAATTATGTTTTCAAAGCTTTTCCAATAAGATACTCCCTTCTCCCATTTTCTGTATTCTCTAGGACTTAGTTGAGTGTTCACAGTCCGGGGCTTCCTTTTTTGAGCAAATAGAGAGAGCATATACAATTTCGCTTCCTTAGATATTGTTTTTAGTATGTTTATTGGCTCTGGACTTAATTCAAGATTGGCTACTGGAAAAATACTCGGTTTAATGTATGCACTAGTTTAGTTAAAAATCCCAGATCAAACTTGACGATTTCACATCTAGATTTATATATATTTTTGCTCATCGCTGGCTCTTTCGAGCCCACTGATATATATTTGTGTAAGCAGCTGTAACTGTTCTGTGTTATATTCATTGTTTTAAAACGCGCATCGCGCAATGATGCCTCGCGTTTTGGTCCTTATATTGCGTAGCGTAAATAGCGTTGCGTGTAGCGTAGGCTATTTGAGCAAGCAAATTTTATTTTGATGAAAAGATTACATATAGAATTATACAACAAAAGTAAACATTTTTAGTCGAAGAAAAGAGTTTATTAAATATTAAATCCAAACAACAACATTGAGGTATTAATTTTTACAAACATTAAATACTAATATCTTAATATGACAATTAGACCATAAAATTTATTAAATGGTTTAATTTAAGCTATGAAAATATAATAATATATGCCAATAATTTTAGTTTGACACTTTTAGTTGAAACCAAGTTTTATTTTAATTTTTCACAAACACGAGTCTAAGACTATAGAAAATGACTTCTTTTTCTTAATTTGGATATTTTGTGATGGAGCATGAAAAAAAGTGCCACATCAGCTTAAGTATTTCGGCCAAAACGCTTAATCGCGCTATTGAACGCTATATGGTGCTATTTAAAACATTGGTTATACTATTTCTGATAAACACACTATTCTCTGCTGTTGCTAAACGTTGATGTTATCACTATTGTTCTGTCTTGAAGTTAAACGTCGATGGTGTGATTATTTCGACGTTCATTTTCTTCTCTCCCAAAACTTTTGTACATGTATTGATGAAAATCGTTATTTGTCAGGTTTCGAGGTGTATTCTGGAAGGCTGCTAGAATAGGTACCACTGACCAAGTTGCTCCCATGCAATTAGAGCTGCACTTAGTTTTTTCAAGAATATATTTCACTGTTGCAAATCTCTAAAACAAACCATGTGTTCTCACTGATGTTTTTCGGCTTCTTTTCTCTTTTTACATAATTTATTTGAGAATTTTTTGCAATCACACTAACAATTAACTTCCCTACAATGCTTCGTGTAACAGGAGAAAGACTTAGCCCTTGGGTAGCTATCGGGTGCTTCGCAATGGGGATCTCAATAATCTTCTTCTGAATAGGATTTTACCACCAATTGTATTAGGTTCGTTCAGAAACTAAACACACACTATAAATGAAGGTGAAAGTTAATTCGAAGATATTATTTGAAATCAACAGTGCCGTATCGTAAAGTTGCACCGAGCTTCCGTAGGGCTATTTTCGTCCCATAGATTTTGCCTGACTGGAATTTGACCGTATATTGCCTCCAAAAAGCCTATTTAACTTGATTGTTTTTGAGAATATATTGACAAATTCATACACTTGGTCTCTACAAACTCGTTTAATATGTTCTCTTAGGCTCTTAGCATCCACAAGCAAACAACAATCTAGTTTCACATTCTCACATATACGGCAAAAATGCATTTTTAGTCCTTCTGGTTTAATCAATGTCGTAGCAATTTTAGTCTCAAGGTTCTAACTTTTCGTATTTTGGTCATGTGATTTAATATTTTGCTGCAATTATGACTGAAAAAAAAAAAAACTAAATTATAAGACTTAAAATGCTAAATAAAAATCTATAAATTTGGGAATTTGTTGCAATTTCAGTCCTCATTTCAGTCCTCAAAGGTCTATTAAATCACATGACCAAAGACGAAATGTTAGAGTCATGGCACTAAAATTGCTATGGCGTTAACCAGTCGGACTAAAAATGCAATTTAGCGTCACATACACACAATAAAAACCAGCCCCGTTTTTCAACAAAAGTTGAATCTTCTCATAACATGCGATACATAAAAATCATATAACAGAAATCAAAGAAGTAGGAGCTTTGAACCTGACAGGCACACAATTTACAACCAAAATCGTAACTTTCTGCTTGATTCTCTTGAAAACAAGAACCCTCTTCTCCCCCCACTGGACGATCGTGAGAACCATCTTCTTCTTAACTTGTTTTCCACCGTCTTTTGCAGGTTCGATTTTTTCGCCAAAATCGGCTGAAGCTGCTAGTTCAGCACTTTCTTCTTCGGCTTCAGCTCGTGGGTCCCAGTGAAGCGGATAGCTCCTCAAGAAAACTCGTCGCGTGTTGTAATCCTCGTTACGGAAGCTTCTTGCTCTCATTCCTTCTTCTTCCATGCCTCCTTATATTGTGTATATATATATCAACTGTTTATGCAATGCTGCAAGGAAATTTCTCAGCAGGGCTTTCTAGTTTTATAGATGTCAAGTGTTATGGTCTTTTGAACTTTGTGTTTGAATGTGTGTGTGTGTGTGTGTGCTGTATATGCAATTGTGTGGGGACAGTTTAAATTTAGAATAATGAGACCGTTGAGATTCTATTTGTGTAAAACTATAAAAGTACCTAATTCTATCTCTCTTTCTCTTTCTTTTATGGTTTTGTGAGCTGAATTTTGTAATATGTTACGACTGCTTTTTGCACATTTTGCTTTGGCCTTTGTGATAGCAGTGCTACTATCGTGCACCTTGGCACACCTTGCGACCTAAGTATTTGCGTTGTGATAGTGTTTGTTTTTCTAGGTAATGTGTTCTGTCTGGCTTTGAACTCCATAATTTAGTAGGTTCTTTGATTGATCTAATTTTGAGCACTAGTTGGTGTCCAGCTCAGCATTCTTTTGTCCTCTACAATAAATTAAAGTTTCTATTATTCTTAGATTAATTCTATGATAATTTAATGGTTAGAGGGTAGGATGTGGGTTGAAATGAGAACTAAGTCCTAGCCTGGAAATTGAACAATTATTTTTAATTGTATGTTGTGCTATGATTGATTGTGTGTTATTGTTATTAACTATGATTGATTTTATTAAAAATAGCCATAAAACTTTTATTAGCATTTGTGAAAATAATATCACATGCAATATTAAAAAGCATCATACACAGTTAAAAATGGTATCAAATATGGTTCTTACGTTTATTTGAACCAATCCAGTGGTTATATCTATCTCATATAAAATTGTGTACTTTTATTTATGTTGCTTTTTAAAATAAGTCACTCGTATATAAAAAGCGTGAATATTTACTATTGGATTCAAAACAAATTTTCAATCTCCATGAATGAAAAATTTGGGCGATTAATTAAACATGTTCCTCCATACTCCCTTCTATTTTTAACAAATGACGTTTTGAGAAGTTGTACAGTAACTAAGAATTATTTTTTACCAATAATAACTTTCATTAATGAGGATAGAGGTGAATATTTTGAGAAAAGATAAAGAGTGAATATGAAAAGATGTTGTGTATTAATTAGCTAAATAATGATAATAATGAAAAATATGTACTTCAAAACGTCATTTATTTGGTTAATTGTTGATAACGTCAAAATGACATTTAAAATAAATAGCAGGTAGTATCAACTTTTTATTTAAATTGATGCAAATGATTACTTAATTCAATGCATCATTTTCTATTTTGGAATGTTAAAAAGGTTGTGTCCCATGGCTACAAGTATTATAGAAAATTGTGTTCAATAGCACATATTTCTATAAGGTTCACTTGGAATATCAAGACTCCATTTGTAGTCTTGTGAGTGATATTATATTCCCCATAACTGCTAACCCGGCCTTTTGACTCACTAACACAACACTTTAATTATCACAAAATTTTTGGGTAAGACAATGTAACCTTTAAACTAGTCGATCAGTCATACTATTTAAACAAATACACATATTTATACGATCAAAGATCATAGTAGTTAAAGTATGGCAATTCCTTATTGGACGTGTGCAAATTTTGTAAAAAAAAGTATATTGGTATAATGGTTAATCCAACCCAACACAAGACCGACCGATTAATTATTATTTTTTAAACTATATATTTGAGACAACATGATATTTTGTGTATGTTCTGGAGATAGTTCATAAATTAATTTCGAACTTATAGTTGATGACTAAAAAATTAGGTCATATAAAAATTTTGGTAAATTTGGTTAATTTGAATATAAATCTCAACGAGCTTTTGTGAAACGCGCCCTCCACAAGCATATGTGATATGACATTAGAAATTTTAGCCATCAGATGGCTCTTTTATGGAATCATCCATAACTTTATGTGATGACACATGTTCAATGTGTATTTATTGCAGGACACGTGTCAATACATCATTTGTGTATAACTATGGATGACTTCATAAGTCGAGCCATCCATTGACTCCAAAGCAAAACCAGATATGACATAAACTCGAGTTTAAAAAAGAATTGATTCTGCTAAGCGAGGCTTATTTGAAAATGAAACATATCAGATACTTCAATAAACTATAATACCCCATACCAAATATACTATTTACCAAAAACCAACTATAAGAGCAACAAAATTAGGTGTTAATAGCAGATAAATTTGTGTATGTTTGGAAGCACTTTTGTAATGGACTTTTGACTATAAAAGTCCATTTCCAATATAAAAAGATGTTTGGTGTAAACAACAAAATGGACTTTTAAAAAAGTAACTCCTACAAAAAGTCCATTTCAAAGAAGTTTATATTGAAGACTTCTTGAGAAGTCACTTTTCAAAAAGTCCATCTTGAAATGGACTTATCAATAAGTGTTTCCAAACAAGCCCAAAAACTCAGGAACCCCAAACACATAGGTGTTAATAGCATATCACAAAGAACAATCTACATTGTGGCTGAGCTTTTCAAGTTGATGCAACCGAAAAAAAGCTATCGGCCGACAAATTAATGCTCGTGCGAATTTTGGTGCTTAATCTCCAGCCATCATCTGTAAATTGGCAAATTTCGAAGTCCAAAACGAAAATCACATGCTTTAACAACAATGCTTGACAATTTCTTGGCAAATAAATAAAAATTAAAATGAAATGAGAATAATTAGAAGAAAACATTGAGCAACAACTTAAAAGTTAACAAGGGTAATTAGAGCTTGAACTAATCCACGACGACGTATAGAAAAGAGACATGAAATTACATGCCTAAGATATCTTGCATGGTAAAAACTTAAAAGTTAACAAGGGTAATTAGAGCTTGAACTGCATTTACTTCGTTGAAAATGGGTTCTTGGTTTATGCTCGACTCGTATATTTTGTCGATGCAACCTGAAATGGACTCTCGATGAAACTTCTTGTATATTTTGCACAAATGTTAACATAGAGAACAGAAGCAATTATAAAAGATTGACTGACCAAGAGTGTTGTCATCATAAGGAAATTTTCCTATAACAAGTGTTCAACAAACAAGACAGCAAGCTCTACTCTACATGTAATCCGGTATTGAAAATGAAAGAAATAATTAATCCATAGCTTGAATATGCGATTGGAATACTTCGAATCAATCTCCAAAAGCAAAAAAAAGTATAAAACTTCTTCCCATATAAGTAAACTAATAAGCAAAATAAATGACCTTGGCTTGTTAGAAGCTCCGTAATGACGCGTAGCATTACTATGTTCATGTATCAACATTTAATCATTTAAAGAAAATTGTGTTAACGTTATTAAATTATACCAAAATCATTGAAATGAGATTTAATTGTTCAGTTCAATAAGATTCAATGAGATTCAATGACCCCAACTTGGTTGGGACTAAAAGGATTTGTTGTTGTTGTTCAATGAGATTCAATCCAACCTGCTCATTTTCCATTTGTATACAAGCACCTGACTCGAGAATATCCAAAGCCTTCGAACCTTTCAGCTGAAATATATCTGAAAAATTCGAAAGAAACGAAATAAATATACATCCTAACATCAGTTACCAAAAAAAAAAAAAAGAAAAAAGACATTAGGCACTTGTTGAACACTATTCTAGGTGCTTTCCCATGTGGAAAGAAAACATATGGGACTTACAAATACAGACCTTGAAATGAAAGACTTGTACATTTGTTGAGCACCATAATAGTTACCTTCTTCTACTAAATAAAGAGATACTAGTATAATACCCATGTACAACATGAGTATTGAGTTAATAAATATATGATTAAAGTTATTGTTGTCTAATATCAAACCTAACTGCAGAGGAAAAATAATATAAAAACATCATCACGAAGCATAAATTTTCGCCATGTCAGCACCCGAAGTGTGAGAAGCTGCTACTTAGGCTCAACACGTTTTGAATTAATATATAGGGAGGGATATAAAAGAGTTTTACCTGTGACCTAGGAGCCAGTGTAGCTCGCTTAGCTCTCTCCATTGACATGGCTCCTTTTAGCTTCAACAACAAAAATTAAGATAAAAACACAGAACCCTTTACTTCAGATAGCATCAAAGAAAACTTGAACATAGAAATTGTACACTAAGGAGAAGCTACTGACTAAGGAGAAAAGCTACACCACAATCAAGAACATAGAAATTGTACACTGAATATGAAAAATAAGCAAGCAATGTGTGATGTATGTGTCAGTGAAAAACAAGACACTCTTGCTATTGATATAAACAGAAAAAATATAAGAAAAAAAAATGGAACAAAAAAAGAAAGAAAAAAACCTCAGATCTGAAATCACCATAGATGCCCACGTCACTATTCATCTGAAAAATGAAAGGGATGATGAATTTCAACTGGACCCATCAGTAAAGATTGGATTTTTTTGTACTGATTTCAACACAAAGATCACAACTTGAAGCGATAACAGGATAGAAGAAAAGAGAAAAAACACACACACACACAGGGGCACACATAGTATTAGTAAGTGGAGTTTTGGGTTTTCTTGCAACACAACACTCTTTTGGTTCACTATGACATGGCCACGGCTCAACTGGCCCGTGGACCCAGCACGGATCCGACCCACTCAAACTCGTTGACCATGGATTCAGACCCTGTTCGGATTTCAACCGGATCGATCCAAGGTCGAGATTTTTTTGATCTTGACCCGACGGGCCGGGCCGAGACCGGGCCGACACAGAGAAATGTATGATTTTCAATTTTTTTTTTTATTAGGGTGGGCCCAGACCCTGCCAGTTCAGGGTCCGTCAAACCGGGGCCATGTCACATTCTTGGACTGTCAACTGTAGCATCACTAGCTGGCCAATTTTGTTGGCCCACAAGGGGCCCGATTTGCTTACTGTTAGATAAAGCAAATTAAAGTTAAATTACCTGTGATTTGTAAATTTCATTTTAGAACCATATATTTGACAATATTTTCAGTTTAATAAAAAAATATTGAAAAAAAAATAGAAAAAATT